TTGAATAGATTTAAAAAAAATCATCTCTCATATTGGATCCGCCATTTTGAATATTGAAAAACCAACATCGGATTCGTAATCACCGACCCCAAAAACCCTTAAGTTTACAATTTCATCAAAATCTATCAAAGCGTTTGTCCACATTAACAGTTTGTTGTAAACTTAATTATTTGTTAATATAAATTGTTTATAACATTCGAATATTTACCTGCACAAATTTTTTACAATTTACAGAGTATTCTAGGTGTGTTTCTAAAAAGTTTTTAGCACGTGCCATTCGATTATAGAGGCTGGTGATAACTTTTTATTAAAAATAGATGCTTTTGTTAAACTTTGCAATAAAAAAATAAATATAAACAAATTGAAATTTTAAATTCGGCCTCGACAAATCTCTTCCAAATTTAATAATCTTTCATTTAAAACAAAGTTCAGTAAAATCGGTTAAAAAATGAAGGCTCTAGACTATTATGAACAGTAAATTGCAGTAAAATTTTGGATTTACGAGGTTTTTAAAATTTTTTTTGAAATTTTGAAAATGGTATATCTCAAAGAAAAATAAATGAAATTTAATGAAATTTTCAGGAAATGCTTATTATCTTTAAAATTAAAAATGGCGGATGCAATATGGTGAACAAAAAAAATTAAAATTAAAAAAATTTCTTTTCCGCCATGTTGGATCCGCCATTTTGAATTTTAAAAATTTGATATCTAATTTGTGATCAGCAATACCAAATACATTTTTGTTTGTCTTTTTTAACAAGTGCAAATGAGAAAACATTTAAATCATTCGATTGCTTATCCGAATACAAAAACATCTTTGACATGGCGAAGAATGAGGATGTATAACTTTTGTTTTACTTAGAATTTTGCAATAATATTTTAGGAGAGTATTCTTGACACTATAAGAAATCCGAAAATAAAAACAAAAAAAATCGATTTTTTTGACATTTTGAACTGGAATGTCCCCTTAAAGAATAAAAAGTCTTTAACCACTTGAGCGGCAGTGCGTCAGAATTGGCGTCAGCGTGCAAGTGACAGAAGCGGCAAAAATGCGTAAAAGGCGTCAAAATTTGACTACTATTTTCTCATTCTGTAAGGAGATTTATAATATCACAACAAAGTATTTTTCTTTTTTAAAGTAAATGAGCAGATCTTTAAACAAAAAAATGCTTTTTTAAATATTTCGATTTCGTGAAGAAAAATTGGACTTTTTGTGGTAGAAATTAAAACGCCACTAATATCAAACTATTAAATATTGTTAGCTTTGATCCTTGAAAACTTATTTAAATATTTTAAAAAACATTTTTTTTGCTTACAGGTCTGTTCTTTCACTTTAAGAAAGAAAAATACTTTGTTGTGATATTATAAATCTCCTTACAGAATGAGAAAATAGTAGTCAAATTTTGACGCCTTTTTCGCATTTTTGCCGCTTCTGTCACTTGCACGCTGACGCCAATTCTGACGCCCTGCCGCTCAAGTGGTTAAAGGCCAATTTAAACATGAAAATTAGCTTCTAATTTTTAAAAATTCAATATTTTCAGTATTTTTAATTTATATTTTCAAAAATCTAAATACATACAAAAATAATATTTTAGAATTATTTTTAAAATTTTGGAATAAAAATTTATATTTAAAATTTTAATTGACATTCATCAAAAAAGTAATTAGTTTTTTTTAATTATACAAAAACTCTTTTAAAGAAAACATTTAAAATTTGATAAAATCTTTTACAAATAATAGAATTTTTATTAAAAAATATTAATAAAAATGATCAAATTTTTGTAGAATTTTAATTATGAACAGGATTATAATTTCTCAAAAAATTCAATGAGTCCAAAAAGTAAATATTCATAAATTTTTATTTACATTGGGGTAAGGCTTTCTGAAGTGTACTCATTATTTGCGAAGGGTATTTTAATTTCATTGAAACACTATATTTTAAAAGTAAATGAGATAATTAATTAAATTTTCTTTACAGCATTTTATTCTACGTAAAATGTGGAATTTTGTACACTTCAGAAAGCCTTACCCATTGTTCGAAGATAATTGAATCTTAAATAATTATACGAATTAGTTTTTTAAAATATTTGCGACTGTTCACAACTGGAGGCGGGGTGGGAGTCAAAAATTAATGAAAAATTGTCCATTTGGTTTATGGAACAACGATAAAATTTATACCTCTCACTCATACCTCGTTCTCGATATCCCTTTCTTTTACTGCTTAATCTATCTGTGAGTGAAAAAAGAAAATGAATTAGCCAATTAGGAAATAAGACGCCCATTTCGTATATTGGCTTGAAAGTAAAATTCCCCACTTTTCCTTCTCCTATCAAATTCTGTTCCTCTCTTTCTACCTGACACGGGAAATGGAGAAAACATTATGCTCTTTTGTAAACCAAAGAAATAGGTGTTACTATCTTACCTATTCGTCTTTCTTTCCTTCCTACACTAAACTATAAGGAGAAGCAATACCTCCCTCTCTTTCTCTTTATCATGCTTTCTCTCTCACACTATGACAGACAGAATGAACATGAAGATTAATATAGTTATTATTTATAATATTATTTAAAATTCTTTTAAAATTTCCAAAATGTTAAAAATAATTCTAAAATATTATTTTGGTATGTATTTAGATGGGGCGGTAGCGATACTACACATTTGAACTCTACATTGATGAACTGTACACGTTCGATTGTATACTGTTGAATTGTATACAAATATGTATTATAAATATTTATCAGTAAACTGCATACATTTCAACTCTACACAAATAATTTTAAATAATTTTATTTTCTTAATATGCTTGTTTGAATACAGTTAGATTCTACACTATTAAATTTGGTAAAATTGTATCAAAAAATTGTACACAGTTTGATTCTATACAGTAGAATTATATACTCCAAAATATTATTTTATTTGTTGAACTGCATACAGGTAAATTGCATACAAGAGTAAATACGATCAATTGTATACAGCTGTAGTGTACACAGAAATTTTTTGTATAATATTATTATTAAACTGTATACATTTCAACTCTACACAAATAATTTTTAATAATTTTATTTTTTAATATGTTTGATTGCATACAGTTAGATTCTACACTCTTTAATTTGATAAAATAATAACAAAAAATTCTACACCGTTAGACTCTATACAGTACAATTTTATATATTATTCTACTGTATAGAATCTAACTGTGTAGAATTCTTGTTATTATTTTATCAAATTGAGCAGTGTAGAATTTAACTGTATTTAAACAAACATATTAAAAAATAAAATTATTAAAAATTATTTGTGTAGAGTTGAAATGTATACAGTTTAAGAATAATATAATGCAAAAAATTTCTATGTACAATACAACTGTTTACAATTATTCGTATTTTATCTTGTATAAAATTTACCTGTATGTAGTTCAACAAATAAATAAATAATATTTTGCAGTATATAATTCTACTGTATAGAATCAAACTGTGTACAATTTTTGATACAATTTTACCAAATTTAATAGTGTAGAATCTAACTGTATTCAAACAAGCATATTAAGAAAATAAAATTATTTAAAATTATTTGTGTAGAGTTGAAATGTATGCAGTTTAATGATAAATATTTATAATACATATTTGTATACAATTCAACAGTATACAATCGAACGTGTACAGTTCATCAATGTAGAGTTCAAATGTGTAGTAACTCTACCGCTTCATTTAGATTTAGACTGGTATTAGAATTCCCGAGTAACAAAATTAAAGTCAATTGCATAAATTTAAAAGAAAATTTCGCCATATTGGATCCTTTCTCTCTCTCTCACTGCGGACAGAATATACAGGCTGTGTACAGACTGAATGAATATATTTTATAATTACTTTTAAAAAACGATGCATAAATATTGGGTCAAAATAGATTTTAATGTTTTTTACTCGGGGGTTTTCGAGGTCGCTCACTTGAAAGTAGACCACTAATGACAATATAGGATATAATATTGTATATTTCTAATATTGTAAACAATAATAAGAGCAGAGGAACTATAATTTTGAAAATTTTGTTCCTCTGCTTATTATTGTTTACAATATTAGATATACAATACTTTAATTTTTTTAGTTATTTCTTCTTATCAAATGATTTTAAAATATGTTTTTAATTGTTTATTTTAATTCTACTAATTACCGATAAATGTTGCAAGTATTGTTTTAATATTTGTGTACGGAACCCGCCATTGCAGTGCGAGTACAACTCGCACTTGTCCAATTTTTTTTTATTTTTAGTTAAGAAATTAAAGTCAGAAAACAATCTCTCATTTATTCTCTTAAAATTTCACTCTTCCTTAAAATATTTAATGCCACGTGTTTAAACTAAATAAATTTAAAAAATTTTTTTTTTGAAAAAAAAATTTAAAAAAAATTTTTTAAAAAAAAAAGTTTCTTAAATAAATTTTTTGTCGTCAGACTGTAATAATACACGAGGATACCAATTTCTAGCTTATTAGGTCAAATAATGTAAAAGTTAGGGAAAACAGAATTTTTTTTTTTAATTTTTTAGTTTTTCCTTGACAACGCTATGGCCATCATTACATATCAAGTTCTCTATATTTTTCCTGTATTATTCGAGTAAAAATACACCAGCATGCAAAATTTCAGCTCTCCATGTCGAATAGTTTAGAAGTTAAGGGGGGGGGGGGGGAATGGTCACTTTTTATGCATTTTTGGCCAAAAATCTTGTTATTTCCTTGACAACGCTGTGACCATCACGTCCAATCACATTCGCTATATTTTTCCTGTAATCTACGAGTAAAAATACATATCTGGACCAAATTTGAGCTCTTTAGGTCAAATAGTTTAGCCGCTAGGGGGGGACACGATTTGGCTACGGACAACAGAGTCTCGCCAATAGGGTTCCGCCGATACACCGCAGGTGTATGGAACCCTAAAAATGATAACGAAGTCATTTAGGAATGTACTATTTTGTTAGATGTAAAGAAGCAGTGTCAGGACACTGCCGACAATATGTGTCCCGCCCTTACCGAAACAGTGATTTACGGTAATAACGATCTACAATTGCGTCTATCGCTCTATTATATATAATGCCCTAGGAATTTTGAAAGAATCTTACATACTAATAAATTAAACCATTTGTGTATCATATAAAAAAGCTTCAACAGAATAAAACTTTACTTTTACACCAGAAAAGGCAGTACTGTCAACTCAGCTGTTTGAAATATCGCAGTGTCTCGCTATGCTCGCTGTCCCGACACTGACGACAACGCCCTACTTATACTTACATTCTTATATTTTTTAAATAAACCTAAATAAAAAAGTAAACATGAAAAAAAAATTTTTTGCGAAGAGGAACAAAAGTTAACTATTTGTTAATTAATAATGTTTATAACAATTTAACCCATTAACGCACAACTCGTGAAAATTCTTTGGCCATTTTCAAACTACGTAATTATAAATAAAACGGTTGACAATTTTGACCAGAGGTACATTTTCTAAAGGTTTTGGATGTGCTCTTTCTTATTCCGGTGTCAAAAATAAATTTCGTCTGAACCAAAATTAAATATGGCGGTTTTAATGTCAAAAAGACAAAAAAAAATTCATTTTTTCAAGTTTGACATTTTTTTTACCTCGAAGAAGTGTAAGAATAAAATTCTATTTTCAACCATGGGTGCATAAAAATTATATACTTTCGAGAAAAGTAAAGTAGAATTAAAAATTTCAAGATGGCGGACCAAAATGGCGTCAAATCTAATGTAAAATTTAAAAATTATGATCAACATTCTTCATATTGCCGAAAAGTCAATGAATTCGCCTGAATTTTGTTACTCGGTGGTTTTCGGTATCGCTGATTACGAATATGAACTTTATTTTCAAAAATTCAAAATGGCGTAATTAATATGGCCGACGAGTTTAACAAAAATTCATTGAATTCACTTGAAACTTGTCACTGAAGGGTTTTTGGGGTCGCTGATTACGAATATGAAATTCATTTTAAAAAATTCAAAATGTCGGACTTATTTTTTAAATTAATCAAATTCACTTGAAACTTGTTACTCAGGGGTTTTTGGGTTCGCTGATTACGAATATCAACTTCATTTAAAAAAATTCAAAATAGCGGATTCAATATGGCGGACGAGTTTTATAAAAATTCATCCAATTCACTTGAAACTTGTCCCACGGGGGTTTTTAGGGTCGCTGATTACGAATATGAAATTCATTTTCAAAAATTCAAAATGGCGGATTCAATATGGCGGACTTTTTTTTTAAATTAATAAAATTCACTTGAAACTTGTTAGTCGGGGGTTTTTGGGGTCGCTGATTACGAATATCAACTTTATTTTCAAAAATTCAAAATGACGGATTCAATATGGCGGACAAGAAACTTCAAATTTCATTATATTGGCTTAAATCTTGTAACTCGGGGTTTTTTTAGGTCGCTGATTACGAATATGAACATGTAATGAGCCAATTCCCCAATAATCAGAGAGGGAGAGAGTTTGATGTTCAAGAGGGGAGAGTCAAATTCAAGAAATTAATATTTCTTTTAATTAGTAGTTGAGTTCCCGACAAGCTATAAGTCGGACTCACGATAAATCCGGAAAGGGAATTGATCACTCCCAATACTCTATTTTATTGTTTATATTTTACACTGTTCCTGTGGACCTTTGTGTCTATGAATATTGCTATAATAAATATTCATTGTGCTCTCCTCTCTCATCACAAATAAATTTGGATATACCATTAATGGTTGATTGTCGACTTCAGGGGATTTGGTGACAACTGGCTGCCAACACAGAGGGCTCATCACAACGCATTATTTGTAATTAGACGACCAGTTCGATTTTTTATACGTATATTTGTATGTGAAGTGTGAGTATGCATGTCGTGTAATTTTGAATATTTAAAAGGTAAACACTCGCAGTTATAAAAATTAAAATATTTGCCAAATGAAAATAAATGTATAATTGTGTTTTTTAATCCAATTGAAATTGTTTGTTTAAATAATGCCCTTGGTGGATTCCACGTCAGTTCAACACACTTATTTTCATTAATTTTTTTGAATTTGATAAAATATTTTTTGAGTTAAGGAGTTTCAAAATTTTGATTTTTTAAAAAATATCTTTTTTTCGATTTAATATATAAATAAGTGAAATTAATCAAATTTAAAGTATGAATAGTGATTTTAAAAGGGTTTTAACGGGCTATAAGCTGATGATGAAAAAAAGTTGTTTTATGTCAATTTGTCCTTGAAATTCAAGGTCAAATTCTTAATTTCAATATACAGTAGAACCCGGTTAATACGATCCCGTTTAATACGATTTCCCGCTTAAGACGCTCATTTATGGTGGTCCCTGCAATTAAAAACATACATTTTATATCCCGCCTAATACGTTTTCCCGCATGAGACGCACTATTAGTGCGGTCCCTACAGAATCGTATTAACCAAGTTCTACTGTATCTCAAAATCGGTGTTTTTTATTTTTTTCTAACTTATCCTAATCGAAAGCTTACCTTTTTTCATATGAGCCATGTAAAAATCAAAGTGGGACCATGCAACTTTTTGAAGAAATTAATTATAAATCATCATTTTCTATGTAAAATAATGATAAATTATTATTTTCCTCAAAAATTCTGATGGTCCCACTCTGATTTTTAAATGGCTCATAGAAAAAAGGTCACGAGCTTATAGCCCGTGAAAACCCCTTTAAAAATCACTATTCATACTTTAAATTTGATTAATTTTACTTATCAGTATATTAAATCGAAAAAAAGATATTTTCAAAAAAATCAAAATTTTGAAACTCCATAACTCAAAAAATATTTTATCAAATTTAAAAAAAATTAATATTTACACTTCTACTAATAATAGTAACATTTTAGCAAAGTTTAGAGAAAATTCATTGTTTTACCTGGGCAGTTGAGGAATTTTGCCCCATATGTTCGTAATTTGTGGTTACGTTTTATTTTTTTACTCCGAATCCCTTTGAGATCCCAAGATGAAACTTACAGGACATGTAAAGCACATTTTCCCTAACATTTAGTAAAATTTTGAAAAAAATCGAAGATGATGTTTTTTAAAAACGGATTTTTAATTTTTCAAAATTTCAAAAAAAAAATTTTTAGAATTTTTTTTTTTATTTTAATTTCAACTTAAAATATACTTAAAACCAAAGAAATTCTTTTTTTAAAATCCAAAATCGGTTAATTAGGACCAAAGTCATAGCACTTTAAAAAAAAAAGACAAAAATTTTAAAAATGCTATATTTTTGGTAATTTTCAAAATTTTGAAAAAATATTTGGTGGAGTTGTTTATCACTATAAAAGTAATAAATTTACAAAAGTACAGCCAAATCCCAACAAGTCATGGAAATAAGTGTGTTGAACTGACGTGGAATCCACCCCTTGCAACATTCTCTAAATACTTCCCCTGCGTCACAAATATTATTTCCAAAAATTCGAAATGGCGGATTCAATGTGGCGGACAAATTTTTTTAATCTTGATCAAATTCACTCGAAACCTGTTACGCAGGGATTTTTGGGGACGCTGATTACAAACCCCCAAGTTACAAGATTTAAGCCAATAATAATGAAATTTGAAGTTTCTTGTCCGCCATATTGAATCCGCCATTTTGAAATTTTGAAAATGAATTTCATATTCGTAATCAGCGACACCGAAAACCCTTCAGTGACAAGTTTCAAGTGAATTCGATAAATTTTTGTAAAACTCGTCCGCCATATTAATTACGCCATTTTGAATTTTTAAAAATAAAGTTCATATTCGTAATCAGCGACACCGAAAACCCCCGAAAAACAAAATTCAGGCGAATTCATTGACTTTTCGGCAATATGATGAATATTGACAAAAATTTTTTAATTTTACATTAGATTTGACCCCATATTGGTTTGCCATCTTGAAATTTTAAATTCTACTTTACTTTTCTCGAAAGTGTATAATTTTTATGCACCGATGGTTGAAAATAGAATTTTATTCTTACACAAAATACCACTTAGAGTAAAAAAAGACCAATACAAAACATTCTTATTTTTCCACGTAAAATTGATTGGCGTTAACAGTTTTCAAAAAATTTTAAGTTTTTATTAATTTGTTTAAACAATTGGTGTTAAACAATTGTAATTATAAACAAAAAAACAGGTATATCTTTTTTCTCCATTTGCCTATGAATCCAATTTTTAGTTTTATTTAAAATCCATTTGTTTATGCTTGGGATGAAACACCCTTTACCCAGCTTAATTTGTTTATAACAATTTTATAAGAAAAATACGACTTAGAGAAAAAAATGACATATACAAAACATTGTTATTTTTCCACGTTAAATTGATTGGCGTTAACAGTTATCAAAAAATTTTAAGATTTTATTAATTAGTTTAAACAATTGTTGTTAAACAATTGTAATTTAAAAATAAAAAACAGGTATATATATTTTTTCCATTTTCCTATGAATCCAATTGTTAGTTTTTTAATACAATGGCTGGTTTCTTTATGGGACTTAATGGGTTAAAATTTTTAAAATCTGAAATCGGATTTGAAATTAACGACATGAAAAGTCTTTGAATAATTTTTTGGAACAAAATTCTTTTGGAACTAAAATGCGAGATTATGAAAAAGCAATAAAAACAATATGATCATTTTAAAACTTTATTTTTCAGTTATCATTAACGACGACAAGAATGAAGTAGCCAACAAGAGTATAACGAGCTCCTTGGAAACGTTGAAAAAAACCTATCCAGGATACTTGGGAGAAATCTATGTAGTCAATGTTGAGAGTACTGAGTTTGAAAGTACGAAAGATCGCATTTGTGGATTATGGAATTCTATTCTTAAAGATGGACAAAGTGGACCAAAAGTTCCGGATTTAGTACTGGACACGACGAGAACTGGATTAGCTACGGAAGCAGTCAATGCCATCACTGCTGCACTTGGTTTACCCACTGTTTCTGGCGTATTTGGACAAAAAGGTGATCTAGGGTAAGTTATTTATTAAAATAAATGTAATGATTATAATTCTAAAAAAATAGGAAGAAGTTACTTTCCAGTGGTGTGTGGTTTCCATTTGATACTCTATTTATAATCTTCTCAGACATCTCTAACGGATTGTGATTGTTTCGAAGAAACATTTATTGAACTTATTTTAGGTTTCATAAGTGTCATGAAAACTCTACTGAACTGTAATTCAGTTCTACATGGGTGATTTTTCAAAAAACGGTAACTTTTAAGTTGATAAAAAAATTTGTTTTAATGTTGTACTCAGGAGAGGTTTTCTACAGTTTCCCTCTTCTCTGGCGAGAAAACCCATTGACGGGTGGTCCAGGCAAATGCGAGTACTCCTAACCTCAGAAAGTCGTTCTGTAGAAACGCAAAACTAGTTGGTATATAAGAGTGTGTGTTCTGACAGTTGGCCGAGCTTCAAGTCATATAAGAAGAAAAAAAAATTAATGAACATTAGTTTTCGTATAATTAGTACTTTTCGCGTAAATGAAATGAGATGTCAAAAATAAAGAGGAAAACTAACCTTATCAGAGGCGTATCATCAAGGGGCACTGAAACTTATATTTTTTCTATATAGGTATTATTAATTGAATTAACTGATTCATTTTTATCATTTTTAAAATTTTATTAAAAAATATATAAAAAGATTAGAAAAATTTCAACTTTATTACCTATTTTAACCCTTTAACGCCCAAATGTGCTGATTTTTAACTTCGGTTTCAAGCTCATAATATTAAAAAGAAAAAATTATTAAAAATTGTACAAGGACATATCTATACGTTTTTGGGGTCGTTCTTTCGAATGGCGTGGTCAAAATTTCCAAAAAGTGACTTTTAACCCTTATTTTTTTTAAATACTTAAAAAATACAAGATTTTGGAAAGTAATTTTTTTCAGACCCAATTTCAGTAGTCATATCGATTTTTCCAAGTCATCTAAGGTATAAAAAACGTGTTCCCGATAGTTTTTGTTTAAAAATATGCTTTGCGTTTTAAGATTTTTGGATTCAAAATGGCGCCTGAAAATAAACAATTTTCCAAAATTTAACACAGGATTTTTAAAAGTTCATGAAATCGCTTGAAATTTGTTACTCTGGGGTTTTCGGGGTCGCTGATTACCAATTTAAAGTCATATTTTCAAAATTTAAATTGGCGGATCCAATATGGCGGACGACAATATTAAACAAGTTGTACATCCAGATGTTCATTACATGAACATTTTGCTTCCTCTTTACGATAAGCAAAAAAAATTTGCTTCCTCGTGGAGGAAGCATTAACGACAAGTATATTTAATTTTTAAATCATTTTTAATAGGGGAGAGTGGTCCTAAGTTGGCCGCCTAAGCAAATTGGTCGAAAATAGTAACAAAATGAAATTTAATCACTTCGGCAAGTATATATTAGTGTTAAGAGATCGTTTTGCTATAATTCTGTGGCATTTAGAACGTTATAGAATAGCTTTTGTAATCTTAATACAATAAATAGTGAAAAGCTGCATTTTGGACATTTCAGAAATAGCGGTCCTAAGTTCGCCACCACTTTTTTTCGCTTGTGTATAAGGAAGAAATGCATATTCTTTTCAATTACGCAGAAATTTTACAAATTTGATACATTTAGGAGAATAAAAACGCATTATTTAACTATTTTTGTTTAGAAAATGAAGCATTGTTTTACTTCATTTATTTGCAGTGGTGGATGGCTGTGGAGACAGGCGTTTTGTACTATGTCTTTTCTAATGTTTTTTAAACCATTTTTTTGGTTTTTGTCTTTGTTTAATTCCTACGTTACACTTTTACGGTCTTTCTCGTGATGAAAAATAGAAAAAAGAAGTAAAACATAAATAAAAACAAACAAAAACAATAGGTGGCCAACTTAGGACCACTGTAGATTTTTACAAGTTTGAAATCATTATTAATTAATTAATCATTTTTAATTATTTATCTCTTGTAGCTGCTCTCGAAAAAACAAGAAAAATTAAATTTTTTTGGTCGTAAACAATATTATTGTCCTCACAATGCGTAGAAGAATCTTAGATTATAATTAGGTCCATAAATTATATCATGGTTTATCAATATATCATACCACAAAATTATAGATTCGTCCAGTATACCATCTCTGAGAAATGCAGGGTGGCCAACTTAGGACCACGCTCCCCTACAATTTAACATTCATAAAATAAAGTTCATTCGTCTTAATAGAAAAAATAAAATTTTCTTATACAGTAATATGATTTTTAAGAAAAAATGAATTTTTATTAAAAGTGCAAATTTTTGTCTATAATTGGTTTTAATTCTATAAATTTAAATACAATATATACTTTATATACCAATCGATCCGTCTTGGTGCAAAGAATATGATTTTATTATATATTAACCATGAAGTAGTATAAGGAGACCGAACGACCATGCAAATTTTGTATTGAAAGTGGGACAGATTTCGGTACCCGAATAGTGGGTGAAAATACCGAAAGGAACACCAGCGCTGCATGTGGTTAAATTGTTGACTATAAGAAGCACAAAACATAACCTATATTATTTGTTGATGTTTCACTAATTCATGTGTGTCATATATGTTTTCATGTAGAGGAGACTAGATGCAGTTGTTACAATTTTGATAAAAACAGTTACTGTGATTAGAGTTTAACTCCAATTTGTTTGGTGAAACGATTAAAACAAAGGTATATTATCTAGTTTTAAAAGGCCACGCAAGTTTCCTGCAAATTTGCTCTGCAAACTTGCCACCAAACGGACATTTTGGTATTTACCGCAAGTTTTCTGCAAATTTGCCAGGCAAGTTTTCAAATTTGGCTTTAAAAACTTGCTGCAAATTTGGAGAAAATTATTGTGCTATGTGCCCAGTGTGCACGTACTATAACTGTTCTAGACCAAAAAAAGAACAGTGTTCTAGAATAAGAGTTACAATTTTATTATAGAACAGTTCTAGAGCTTTGTTCTAAATTTAATCTGGAACAATTGTTCTGTATCTGTTCTATAACAGACATGTAACATTTGTTCTAAATTAGTTATAGAATTTTGAAGTAACATTGTTCCTACAGTGTTCTAGAACACTGTTACAAAAATGTCATATAACTGTTCTTTCACTATAAACTCGTGTTTATTTTCACTACACGGAAAGATGTTATTATTAAATTTTATAAAAGTATTTTACAAGTGTAGGACAAAATGCGACAAAGGAAAATTTTGCTATCAACAAAACTAACACAGTAAATCTTAATTTAAGATCGGTCTTAAATTCAGCACTGTCTGCTATAATGTTAAAGGATACAAAAATGTTGTATCTTAATTTAAGGCTGCTTTCCTGCTTTAAAATAAGACTTTCTTTTTACTGTGAAACTTTAACAAAACGTACCTATATAAAATTTAGTAAAGTTATATTAAAATTTGTTAAAAGTTTTCGATATTTGATATAACTTTACTAAATATAGTATAATTTTTATTAAAGTTTAATACTTCTAATATAATAACTAATATAATAACTTTCTTTCCGTGTAGAGTGCAGCAGCGTTTTTGCATGAATTACAAAAAATCTTTTGAATTTAGATACTTAGAAAGACTCGTATCGATGATTCGTGAAAAATTAAATAATTTTTCACTGTCAGCTTGTATAAATTTTCAAGATTTTTAAAAACATTATTCACCAACAATAACATCAAATATTTAATTAATTTATTATCAATTATTAATTAATAGGTATATCATAAAAATACAATAATAAATTATTATTAACAAATTAATTAAAATTTGTTATTATTTGTAGCATAATTATATATTATTATTTGTAATAAAAAAATTTATATATATATATATATATATATATATATATGGGTCATTCCAGGCCAAATCGGAAATTATTTTGCTTTTGCATCTCAAAAATATTTTTATTAAAAACTACGTGTGAAAACAAAACTTTTCATTATAAAAACGTCCAATTTGATCAATTTTTGACCGAGTTATAAGCATTTAAAAAAAATTTACGTAAAAAACGTCAATTTTCATAAATCTGTATCTCCTGAACCGCTTTATGAAAAAATTTGAAAAAATTCAAGATATCTCATTTCAAAGAGTACTAAAAGAAAGAAAATGTTTAAAAAAAATTCAAGATGCAAAAGCAAAATAATTTCCGATTTGGCCTGGAATGCCCCATATATAGTTATTTTTTTATTAAGTATGTTACAGTTCAATTTATAATTTTAGCACTGCACATAACGGTCCCACAATTCAAAAGGAATTTGAAGTAAAATCACTTCCAAGCTTTGCGTGGCTATGCGGTATGCGTATTCGACTTGTGTCTCTAGGTCTAGGTTTCGATCCCCCGTGCGTGCGAAATTTTTCATTCTTAGTTTGAAGAGTGTTCTGTGTATAATTCTGAATATTGTTACATAAAGTATAAGTTTAAATAATTATTAACAATAATAATAATAATTTAGTCATTAATTTAAATAAATAAGATAGTCTGTTTAAATTATTAAAGAAAATAAGAAAAATATTTTTTAAAAACTTATTGCAAAAATATATATTCTATTAATTATTCATATTTTTATTCAGACTCATAAACATTTATTTGTTCTATGCAACTATTAAATTTCTGCTTAAGGGTATTATTTATGATAAATCGTTTTTGTTATAGAATTGTTATATATTTGTTCTAAAACAATGTTCTAGTTTTGTTCTAGAATTGTTACAGACTTTGGTTCCTATTTTGTGCCTCCAGGGGGACGACATTTTGACCTGCCTGTTCCTCACCAGTTACAGAACTTGTTCTTTTTGTTCTGGAATAGTTATAGAATTATTCTGTAACTTTGCACACTGGGTGGGATGCCTTTGGAATATTGTTGGTCTCTCAAGCGCCAAGAAGACAGTGCAAAGTTAAAGAAAAAACCATTAAAAAGCATTTTTTAATTTTAAAATTTTTGTTAAATTGTTGACAAAAAATATTCTGTTTTATACGATTTTTGTAATCAAC